AGGAACAGCACTATATACTACATTTTATTTTTTATACATGCATTTTAACACAAGATTACATACCTCTGCCTTGTGCCTGATGATGATGCAGGCCGTGTATGATGGACGATTACATTATTTTCCACCCTGTGCCTGGATACCATTCCATTATTTACCTTTATGCTCGACTTGACCTTCGAACTTTTCTCCAAAAATTTAGTATCTCTTTCTTTAAATATATTTTTTTCTCTTGCGTGTTGTAACCACCACCTTTATTCCAACAATTTAAAAAAAAAGTACAGTACAATATTTATATTTTAAAGGGTTGTTTTTTCAAGTTCTTTTTATTACCTTTGTGTTTTATTTATACCAGTTTTTTTTTTAACATTTATCACTTTTATTTACTATTTCCTCAATATTCTTATGAATGTATTTCATTTTATGAAAAGAAATATATTCACACATAATTATCTTCTTTGTATGATGGTAATTTTTTTAATAATGAGATGTGTATAAGAGACTAACATTAATTACATTACAAGGATATTTTGGCCAAGAATGGTATATTTTATTTATTATTATTTAATAATATTTCTCTTATGCACTCTATTTTTCATTTTATGCTTCAATTTTTTTCCCCTTTTTTCTTCAAAATTTCTATCAACGTAATGTGAACTGGACTGTTAATATCAGCCTAGGACCTAGGGACCTAGGTCTAGTTTAGGGAGCTTATAGTTTATCCTCTTTTTCTCTAGCCTTTGGTATTACTGTACCTATCTACACTTTATACAAGGGGGTACTAGCTGTTGTTGTTGTAGATATTATACTAACATTTAATAACCTACAAGAAGGTCACAGTTAGTTACAGTACAGACGTACATCCCATAAATCTGTAAGATTTCATAGGCCTACCGTAGGTAAACATAGAAAGAGCAATAATAGTAAAACTCGAGCGTCACGACATTGCGAAATGTCTGCTCATGTTCCTCGTATCGAACTAAGTCGAGTCAATCCGAGATGGCCCGAGTGAAGTTTCATGCAAATGTTTCGTACGGAAAAAAAATCGCCGACGGGAGACCGATTTCCCCGACGAAAAAAGTGGGCATGGTCGGGCGTCGCCTCAAAATCTCTCAAAATTGTTCCATATCTCCCGAAAAATATGAGAGTTTAGGGGTTTAAAGTAATATTTAATTGATTTTCTTAGGTACTTAAAATATATTTTTTCTCTCCCCGACGAATTGTGGTTTTTCTCACTGACGGGGAGTGGGCAGCTCTCCCAGACGCCTACTCTCCCTCATTTCCCTGCTGGTGCCACCCTTGCAGTACACAAATGAAGACATTACAATCTTTGGCGTACACTTGATTGTAACAACTGGAAGTACCTCAGTAGATAAACCTAGGCCCACAGTTACAATGCTAGTTGCAAACATTTTTTGTTTTTAAAGTAGACTGGCAACAACGGAATTCCAAGTTGACCAGGTGCATAATTTTGCACATAAGGGCCCAAATATCAGGAGTTTATAACTATTAATTTTATCAGGGAACAGTGTGACGTAAAATAATCATCAAACACGTAGAACAATCACAGATTCTACTCACATAGGAACAGCACTATATACTACATTTTATTTTTTATACATGCATTTTAACACAAGATTACATACCTCTGCCTTGTGCCTGATGATGATGCAGGCCGTGTATGATGGACGATTACATTATTTTCCACCCTGTGCCTGGATACCATTCCATTATTTACCTTTATGCTCGACTTGACCTTCGAACTTTTCTCCAAAAATTTAGTATCTCTTTCTTTAAATATATTTTTTTCTCTTGCGTGTTGTAACCACCACCTTTATTCCAACAATTTAAAAAAAAAGTACAGTACAATATTTATATTTTAAAGGGTTGTTTTTTCAAGTTCTTTTTATTACCTTTGTGTTTTATTTATACCAGTTTTTTTTTTAACATTTATCACTTTTATTTACTATTTCCTCAATATTCTTATGAATGTATTTCATTTTATGAAAAGAAATATATTCACACATAATTATCTTCTTTGTATGATGGTAATTTTTTTAATAATGTTATATCAAATATCTCAAATGTAATTCATTTATTAACAAGGTATTAATTGAACCAAAGTTCCATTTTTTCAGAGATTTCAGAATTTTTGCTTCATACAAACAGAACAGATATATTATGTACCAATCCACTAAATTTTATGATTATCCATTCAATAGTTTTTGCGTAATAATGCTGCGGAAAGACTTTCCATTTCATAGAAAAATTAATTATGTTATTAATCTTGGGTTCAATTATATTTACTCAACTGTTTTATGTCATTTATTTAGAAATCAATAATCCAAAAGGAAAGCGAACTGAAGCTCTCGCAGATATGCCCATCCACATTCGAGAAAAGATTGAACGGTGTCTAAATGTGCATGTACCTGGTGGAAGTAACTGGCAGAGTTTCGCCGAGCATTTTAAGATCAGAAAAGACGTTATCCGTTACTGGGATAGCAGAAATGATGAAGTGCCATCCTATAATGCATCGGGACAAATGTTTGCGAACCTGAAAGCCGAACAACCACAGCTGACGGTTGATGATCTGTGGAAAGTTTCCAAAAATAAAAACCGTAATGACGTTGTCAGGATTATTGACGAACATTATTAGATATAGGTAGAGATATAGGTTTCATTGCAACGCTACTTCAAACATAAATATTCAGAAAAAAAATAGTTGCTTATTTTGTATCAGCAAGTAATTCACTTTCAACTAAATTTTGTAAAAAAATCTTGCAATTTTAGGGACGTTTTGAAACATACGGGTTTCGGTCTGCTGCCACCTGGCCATGCCCAGTCAATTGCCACCTTTAGCAGGGCCGTCGGAACCGAACAGGCGGCCCGCGCTGACTTTGGCCGGACCACTTTTTATGATATTATTTTTTGAGTTAATATATACGGATACTTATCAAGGTCATCACCATCATTACCGTCATTGTCATCTCATCATCACCATCTCATCATCAGAATTATTTCATATTTTTTCTGGGCATCCAGGTAAACCAGGTTTCCACGGTAGCACTGGGCCCCTTTAAAACTAAGAACCTTTTCACAAAACAGTTGGATCGTATTAGGTAGGGCCTGTATGTCTTTATCACTTGGTAGATTTGTCCAGTAGAGTATACCTACATGGTCTGTTTGTCATAAATAAACCAAGAATTAACCACAATTAAATTTTACTCGGTGTAAGGCCTAGCAGAAGCGAACAAAAAAAATATATATTACCTATTTAATAAATAATTTTAACAATTAAAATGATGGTACACTTCTTTCTATGGACGTTACACACACACACACACACACCTTTGCTCCGGTGACCAAGTCATATAGGGGATCTCTTCTGCTGTGTACATAACAACGTCTTTAGGCCT